GACCCAGGGAAAAAACCCTTGAGAAGGACGAATAGCGCAGCCACACTGAACCCTTCTTCCAGGCTCATCTGGCGCTCCTGCTCCACCTCTTCTCGGGCCATCTGGAGAGTGCCCACCTCATCCCGTAACTGCGCAGCCTCCTCCTCCTCACTTTCCAGCTGAGCTTGAAAGGTCCGCACCTTCGACTGCAGCACTTGCGTCTCTGCTTCCAAGGTCCTGCTCAATTCCGTGGCATTCTCCAGCTGCCGCTGGGAGGCCAGCACCTGCTCCTCAGCTTCCCGGTGCTCCTGAGCCAACCTTCCGGCCCTTTGCTCCCAGACCTCGCCTTCTTGGTGCTGCGCCGCCAGCTCTCGCCTGATGCTTTCCATCTCTCGGAGCTGCTCCGAGGCCTCCTGCTGCAGGCTCTCGCGCTCGGCAGCCGCGCGGGTCAGCTCCTCCAGGCGGCTTTGGCACGTGCTGCGCAAGGCGTCCTGCTCCTCCGCGGCTGAGGTCAGCTCCTCCGCGTGCACACGCCACTCGGCCTGGGCGTGCTGCTCCCCGCGCTGGAGCGCAGCACTCCGGGCCTCGGCGTCCTCCAACTCCTGCCGCGTCTGGGCGACCTCGGACCTCAGCTGCCCCTCACTCGCCTGGCTCGACTCCAGTTCGCTCACCAACCTCTGCTGCTGCTGCGGGTCACCGCTGGCCTTCAACTCCTCCTCCACCGCCTCTGAGCGGTCAAGCGCTTGCTTTGCCGCCTCCTCCGCCTGTCGCAAGGCCTTTTTGGCATCGCTCAGGTCGTCCTTCAGGTCGTTATTCTCCGCCCGAAGTCCGGCAATGTCCCTGCTCCAGGGTTTCTGAACCAAGCACCATTGATGCTCCAGGAAGCTCTGCTCAGATTGAAACACATGAAAACTAAAACCAGTGGGAAGCTCAATCATCGTACAACGCATCTCATCAGGAAGATGCAGCTGAATGGGCAGTGAGCGGGCAATCTACCCAATTCCAAAAACATGGCTATAATACAACGATTTAATGGGTACCCATAATTGGTGGATGCTCACCCATTTCATGGAGATTGATTGTCGGAGTGGAGGGAGGGGTGTTAATCACAGGTGTGGTGGCCAGTAAGGGAACCATCACAAGAGCCTTGTGGGTCCCAGGCCCCTAAGCTGCAAATCAAGCTATCACTTTGACCCGGTGGACATCATTTTGGGGACGTATCTCCAGCCATTTGGAGATCTCAATGAATTCATGGCCCTGTCCTCCACTTGTCCGTGTTCTCCGCGCGCAAGCGGGCCGCCTCTGCCTTCAGCTGCTGCAGGTCTCCCGTGACATCGTCGGCGGCCTGAAGCTGGGATGGCACAATTCTCTCATCCGCTTCACTTACCCGCATGAAATGGGAATTGTGCCATCTACTTGTACGCAGGCGTGATCCCAAAAAGGCTTGGGTTGCGTGGTTTCCCTTGATTCCATGGGGCCACGGTCAGGTCAACATGTTAGTCCACAGAGAATCGTAAACAGAGCCTCTTGACAGGACCATCCAGACACTTGGATCTTGAGGATGCGCTCTGAACCAGCCGGTGATCAATTCAGAGCTGATAAATGAAAAGTAATCGTCGACATTATCAACATTATCTTGCAGGGGACAGGATTCCCCATACTTTCTCCTCAAGCATTGCCGACCCAATGGAAATATCTATATATATATATATATATAAAGAAAAAAGAGTAGGGACCCTCAGGAATCAGAAAAGCCACCGCGGTACTGTCTGAAACTAGACGCTCCCGTTGAAACTGCCCAACAAGGGATCCAATTTTGAAGGTGCGAAACGCGAAGGTTGTTTTCTAAGGTCCCAAGCCTAGTCCGAAAGAATAGCAAAGCCCAACTACACAATGGGCACATGGGCGCATAGCCATATTTACCATTGGGATACCACGGATCATACCCAGTGACCACTCATTCCCATGTCAGTGTCATTGTCCATGTCCATACCATGTTCATGTTTCCAGTGGTTTGGCGCGTTCCTTCTTTTTTAGGACGGCAATCTTTCAGCAATTGTCATTGATCCATTCCGCCGTGCTTCCTTTCACAAGCATCGGGAGAACGCCTCCTACATGGCTTGTTTACTGTAGCTGTTGAGAGGCGCCCGTGGACAAGTGACACCTGGGTGGTTGGTGGCATAATTTCTTATGAGGATGTCCAATCCCTAAGACGTCGGTAGTTCGTGGCAGATTCGTTGTTCGGGTTGGCTCAGAATCCCCACGCAGGTTCCTTAACCTGAGTGATGCGAAATTCATGAAATTCAGCTTGCGAGCTCCTGGTTTTCCAAATCTTGGAGGGCCCACTTTGGGGTGATGTTCAGAGTTCACTCATGACTTTGTGGCTGCCACCGTTCAGCGAGCTTGCATCCATATGTCCGCACGTCCGCACGCCGATCTCGCGCTCTGGGTCTCACGCCACGCTCTGCAGCTGCTTCTCCAGGCCGCTGACCTCCCGCAGGGCCCTCTGCAGGCGCTCGGTTTCGTCCGCCGCTTCCTGGCGCAGCTGGGCCGCGCTCGTCTCCGCCTGCGCCAGCTCCGCCTGGCCGAAGCTAAGGCGAAGATTCGTTGAACGTGGAGGCCTTTGGCGCCTGGGCCTTTTCTGATGGATGTGAGGGAGCCAAACACGTGGTGCTCAAAGGGCAACCTCAACAAACAAAAAACACAAACACACACACAGAGAGACGCAAAGAGACACAAACACAGAAGTGTTCAAACTCGCAAAGGAAACCCCCCTTGGGTTTTCTAGACCCTTCTGGAGGTTGGCCTTGCAAACAAATCCAAAAACGGTGTGCCCAGTGGCCCGGCACCTTCAGCTGGCAGCTCAGCTCCTGCTCTTTGGCAGCAGCCTCCTGCAACTCCGCAACCTCCGCCCGATACCTCCGCAGCTCCTATGGCGAATGCCAGGTCAGAGGTCGGTAAGATATCTAATCCACTTGGTGGTTGGACCCAGTGGCTTGCATAAGGAATGATGGGGACCCAATGTTGTTGTGTTAGCGTTCCAACCAGAAAACAAAAAGCAGTTGCCATTTCCAGGTGCAACCGGCCGAGGGACCTCCGAATCACAACCAAAACCCCGCACTCCTCATCGCCAGGCCCTGCTGGGGCCGCTGGGGCCTCCGGGGCCACAGGAGCAGCAGACTTCGCCGTCTCCGGCGGCTTTTCTATGGGCTCGGGGCCCTCAGTGAAGACCTGAGTCGTCGGCTCCTTCTGGTCATATGTTTTGCTCCGGCACATGCAGTCCATCCCTTATAATTATGGATGAAAACACCTCATGAACAAGTGGCTTAATATTTGGAGGGGGCTCGCCAAAACTTGTCCAGCTGAAGGCCCCCTTTGCCCATTCTGGTCTGCTGGGTTGCTTCATTCTCGCGGGCTGACAGCAGTGCGGGTTCTGAGACGTGTGAAACCATTGTTGCCGTCCCTGCACTTTCCCAAGCCAGGAGCGCATGGCATTGAATGCCAAACCAGTGAATCACCCCCAGGACTTGTGACTACGGAGTTGCCCGAAACTGTCCGCACCTTCTTGATAGCGACGGCCATCAAGAACTTCGACCCGTTCTTCATCATGGCCTGTGGCCCGCCGGCCTTCTCCAGCATGTCCTGCTGGGCGCCAAGCGACACCCAAAATTCATGGCTTCCGACACTCTTGCTGTCAAACGCTGCCGGCAAGCTGGTACTGACTCACTCTGAAAGATGGCCCATCCGGATCCTTCTTGATGGCTTCTGCATCTGGACACTGCCGGGAGTGCTTGCTGTGCCATGTCGCCACAAAGCAGGCCTCCCGCATACGCTCGAAAGGCCAAGCTATGCCAAGGTGCCCAATTTCCAAAGGCCCAGCAAAACAAAGAAATTATTATCGTTGAAACAACATTTCGTTGGTTCTGCGTTGATCATCCGGCTTCTAAGCTACGGATTCGGGGGGAGTGTTTTTCCATGCTGCGGAAATGTTTCCGAACTGCTAACACGGAGCTCGCCCACCAACCTGCACATCAAGCAAGGCAAGCTTTCACTAGCGTAGCGAGCAGCGAGCGTTCCCATCCCTACCTTTGGTGAGTCACGCTGTAGCGCCGTGCCCGGCAGAAGTCAAGAAACGTCAATCCTCAAGCATGTGCCATGCTGGCTACTGGTTTGCTCACCAGCAGTACACAACTGCATGAGTGCACGCACGTGCGACAACATCAATGCGCAACATACTGGCTCAACATGCGCCTGCACCTCTACACACGTGCTTGGAATGCTGGCCAAGCTGATGCACTCCGATGTGCGCCGACTGTCCGAAATGCCACGATCCGCCACGCAACGGCGGGCCTCCGAGCAAAAGCCCAGGCCACAACGACATGCCAAATGTGGCACGCCCAAAGGTTTCTCACACTTGGGCTTTCCGCAAAGCATGGCTAGCGCTGGCCATGCGGTCAATATCAATCGCAGACTTAACTACACGATAAACAATCAACAAAGTGAAACTCTGCCTTCTACTTACTCCCAAATCGGAATTTGTTTCATCCGACCTTTCAGCAGTTATCAATGTTCATTGGAGCTGGGATGTGGCACGACTATGATGTTTGGGGGGTCTAAGTGGCGCTGCTGCCAGTTTTCAATGGCCTTACACGTTTCAGATGTGCTTGCAAATGTGCTTGTCTAACGCATATCGCAGGGAACTGTCACTCTCTCCATCTCTACAGCCCAGGCATCCCTCGCACAGCTTGTCACGCATTCCTGGTGATTCTCCTTACAGAATCTGGTCATCTGCTACCGTAGCCTCTGGGCCCTCTCTTATCACAGCCAGCTGCGGCAAGCGGTGACGGAAAGCAGGCATCGCCGAGACTTGCTGGCAACTAATCTAGGCCTAAAGGCGAAAAAAACGAGACCTTTGCGAAAAGTAGCGTGCATGAGTGTCATTGCGGTTCGCCCACTTGTCCCCTCGCCATGCCCTGGACCCTCTAAAAGGAATCCAAGAGGCCCACCTCTAAGGCCCGTGCTTGGTGCGCGAGTGCTTGGCCCAGCTTAAATGCTTTGACCTTGAGCGGTGGCCCTCTGCTCTTCGGCCTTTCCCAAAATAAGGCATGAATTAGATTGGGCTGCTGCGAGTTATGTTTCCCCTCCCTGAATCCAAGGGGCAAGTTGGAGGGTCGAAAAACAATTGGCGGTCGGAAAACATTCTCCGCACTTTCCTGTTTTCCTTTGGCCAATGCGAGTACCCGACCAATTAGTTGCCAAAAAAAACTCCCGCGACCAGAACATGCTGTTCCACGCGAGACAAAAACAATTGATTCTCCCCAGAAATATCACCCTGCCCTCCGCCCAGCCACCCCCGGACAATCTACCCCACAAACATCGAAACTCTTTACGAAGTCTCTATTCAAATGTGCCAGACCTGCACTTTTCCAAGGGGCCACGAAACCACTTGGATTCCCAGGAATCACATTTTGTGGGCCACCCAATTCACCAGTTCCAAACATTGCCTTCTGCTCGGTTTTTCTAGGGCAGGTGCACTGTGCTGCACAGCTACCAGGAAGCCTGGTGCGACAAGCCTTGGGCATCCTTGGGCCTGGACTCTTGCAAATGTTTCTCCAGCTTCTGTTGGTTGGAAAAGCTCTGGAAGCACCTGAGCTGGCGAGCATCCAAGCTTGCAACCAGAGGATAGCCGATTCCACGCACGCTCGCTGGCTAGGATGCCCTGCTCTAGGCACCGGAAGCGCACTGGCGCGCAAAGCTGCTGTGCCTCGGGGCGAGGCAAGGCTTGGCTCAAGCAACTCCAAGGCCCAGCTCACCATCCACTTCAAATAGCCCAAAGGGGTTGCCTATCTTCGCGTATCTTCGCATGGCTTTGCCAATCTTTGGGCACACCCATGAGGACGCGCGGACTGTCAACAAGTCAATGAAGCCACTGTGAACTTCTTGTACGTTCATGAGCGGGCCAAGGCGAACAGCGATACTTTGCATCTAGCTGAGCTGCTTGCGTAAGGTGCCACTGTGTTCAAACAACTGGCAGTGTGGGAGGTGGGGCTGTTCTTGCATCACTATCAAGCTGCGCCCACCTGCGCTCAATTGTGCCACCTTGCGCGCGAATGTTGCTCAAATAAAGCTTAAGAAGAACTTCCGTAGCACTGGAACGCATTGAGCTCCGCTTGCCGTGAGCAATGCATGAACTTCTAGTGAAAAGCATAAGAAGATGCAGAAATCGCGGGAATTGGGGAATGGCAGGAGGGAGGAACACGTGGCCCTGTGCATGAATTCGTCTCCACGCCAGCAGTGCAAACCAGGAGCAAGGCCCACTCAGCCTGCCTTTTAGATACTGCATGAGATGTGCACTTCACGTGTTGACCATGCGGATGAACCGATTCCCGCAGACCCTTTAATGCTTTGGAGGAGGAAAAGGCGCCCCGGAGGTTTGCAGGTTATGAGCCCAAGCCGCTCGCGCACATGGAGGTGATGAGGCGGCGACGGTCCGGCCAGGTAAGCCCTGGCAGGGAAGTCGAGGAGAGCCGGGCACTGGCCAGGGGGCGAGCTGGTGGCGGACGAGGGAGAAGATCCTGAGATGGGTGAGCCGATGGAGGGTGATGACACCCTGGAGGTTCACTCGGCAGATGGCCGTGCATCCACCAGGGAGGCATCAACGGCAAGATCGGCGAGGAGCTCATCAAGGACGAGGGAGACGTCACCGAGAGCCCTCAGGCCGGGTGGATGCTGAGCCTTTGGTGGAGAGGGAATCGAGCTCTACGGCCTCTGGGCGAAGGAGCGCTTCAGAGCAGAGCTCTATGGCATCTAAGCCAGGGAGTACCACGAGGTCGAGCCCTTCGGTACCCAGGAGATTGGGCTCTATGGAAGAGGGCCGGTGATGGCCCGAAGGCAGGAGCGGAGGTAAATCCCTTTTGGTCTAAGAGGGTGCAGGAGGAGGTGAGGCTTCGTGAAGCGAGGCCGGAAGGACTGCCACCGGTCCCGGAGTCAGGTGATGAGGAGGAGCCGGTCAGGACACCTTTGAAGGCTGCGGAGGGAGAAGCAGCGGCAAAGAGGAATCGGGCCAGGGCCTTCATGTCGCCGGAGGAGCGGTTGGCGGATGAGAAAAGGGAGGTGGCCTTGCAGGCGGTCAAGAGGGATTTGATGCGGATCGGAGGAGAGGGTCCGCCGGAGGAGGGCTGGCGGAACAAGGGGCCTTCAGGTGGAGGTGGAGAGGATTGGGATGGCGCAGGAAGCGCCGGAGACAAGGGGAGGCCAGCGACGCCTGAGGACCGTCTGGAGCGGGAACTCAGCAGGGTGATGATCGAGGAGTACGGTGCGGTCAACATGAACCTGGCTGAGGCGTTGCGGCAGCGGAATGAGCTGCGACATAAGGTGGAGCAACTGGAGCTGGAGAAGATTGTGGTGGAGGCGGAGGCCGAGCAGAACCGGAGGATGGCAGAGCTGTGGGAATCACGGGCGCGGCAGGCCGAGAAGCACGTGGAGCTCTTGACCGAGCAGATCACGGTGCTGGAACAACAGCCGCGGCCTCAGCAATTTCACACGCCGCAGCAGGAGGAGGAGCCGCAGCCACCGAGGCCGGAAACACCTCCACCACCGCCTCCAGTAGCGCCAGTGGCGCCCCTGCTACAGCAGAAGCCGAAGAGTCGGCCGGAGGTCAAGGAGATGCCCAACGAGACTGGACGGGCTACGGGTCTGCCGGAGTTGGTGGGGGACGGAAGCCCGCTGACCTTCGGGGACTGGATGGCCACGATTGACCACTACATGAAGGACATCTCGACCTACAGCGCGATGTGGTGGGAGGAGGTGTGCGCTAGTGCCAAGGAGGCCTATGCGGAGTGGTTGGTGGCGAGCCCGTTGCAGAGGCTGCGCATCAAGCCGGAGCTTCCGCCGGTCTGCATGGACTTGCCTCGCACTGAGCAGAGAGGGGTGGCCATGGTCCTCAAAGCACTCCCGGAGAGCGTCAAGAAGGAGCTGGTGGCCAACAGGCAGTTGAGCATGGTGAACATCATCTATCGCCTGTACATTCTGTACCAGCCAGGAGGAGCCTCTGCAAGACAGCAGATCCTGAACGCGCTGCTGGACACCAAGGGCGGGAACGCTTCGGAGGTGGCAAAGCAGCTGAGGTCGTGGAGGCACTGGAGGAAAAGGGCGCTGGAGCTTGAAGTGGCGTTGCCGGATGCCACGTTGTTGGTGTCTGCCCTGGACAAGTTCGCAGCGGCTCTGTCGAAGCTGGATCAGCAGAGCAGCTATCGAATGTCCACGGTGAGAGCGGAGCTGAACCTGGACACGAGGCCGACTCAGGAAGCGGTGGAGAGCTTCGCGGAGTACCTCCAGGCGGAGTCGGAAACGGCGGAGTTGGCAAAGGGCGGCAAGGAGGCCGCTCCCAAGGTGAAGGCGATGGGTGGTGCAGGAAAAGAGGAGGCTGGACCCTGGAAGCCATCAAATGGCGGTGGGACTCCCGGGAAGCCGAGGGTGGTGGATTTGTCAAGGGCGTGCAAATGGTACGCGACCCGGGTTGCAGGTTTGGCAAGAACTGCAAGTTTGCCCACGTGTGGGACAGCCTGGATCGGCAAAAGGAGCGGTGCTGGAACTGCGGGAGTCTGGAGCATCGCAAGGCGGAGTGCCCGCGGCCTGGACCCCAAAAAGGTGGACCTGGAGGAGGCCAAGCTGCGGCTGAAGGAGGCGAAGGAGCCAAGAGGAGAGCCGGAACCCCGCCGGGAAATAAGGGGGCTGTGAGGAAAGCTGCCGGAGGAAAGAGCCATGCGGCGGAACCGGTGGTGGAAGAAGAAACGGACCGGTGGGAAGGACAAGCTGATGGCGGAGGCGACGCAGCTGTTGAAGAGCCTCAGGATGAAGAAGCTCAAGGCGGCGAGGCTGTCAAGGATCGGGGAGTGCCAAAGTTGGGGGCTTCTTGATGGAGGGGCCACGCATGCGCTCAGGCAAGCGCGGAAGGGTGAGACAGGGGAGGACCGCATGGTGGAGCTTGCGGTTGTGCCGCTTGGAGCGTTGTACCTGCTGGGCTACAGGATCCGCTGGGAGGAGGGTATCTGCTGCATCGAGCACGCGAGCCGAGGCCCGTTGCCGGTGAGGATGAGGCAGTTTTGCCCGGAAGTCCCGACGGAGGTGGCTCCGAGGTTGGTGGAGGAGCTGGAGGATTGCTCCGGAGGGCGGCTACAGCGGCGACCAAGAGCATGAGGAAGCCAGACGTCAAGAAGGGCCTGTGCGGCAGGGTGGCGGAGGCATGGAAGAAGGGAGAGATGGAGAAGGTGAAGGGGGAGTTCGAGCAGCTCTTCCTGGAGGTCGGTGGCGCTGCTGGAGAGGGCCCTGGGCACAGGAGAAGGAAGGGGAATCGCCTGGAACCGGGCGGCGAGGAGGAGGCATGCCAAGGCGACAGGGTTGATCCTGCATCTCTTCGCCGGGAAGAGTGCGAAGAAGTTCAACTACGGGCAGTGGGACAGGGAGGTCAGGCCAGGATTTGCTGGAGGAGGACACCTTCGGGTACCTGGTTTGGCGGCGGAAGGAAGGACGGAGGGGGTCATGGGTGGGCCGCCGTGTAGGACGTACTCCTACTGCCGGCACTTGGAGCCTGGCCCGTATCCGGTCCGAGCGGTTTGGCTGTATGAGGCTGCATGTGGATCCTGGCGGTGCTGGCGAACGGTGGCCGGGAGCTGGTGGGTCTGAAGGCATGGATGGTCAAGGAGCACCCGGAGGACCCGAGGAGTTTTGTCAGTGAAGAGGAGTGGGAGAAGGCCAAGGTCCGGGGGGGCGAACCGCCTTCGATCGGGGACTGGCCGGAGGTCACGGCGTTGGAGGACTCATCAGGGTGAAGTTTGACCAGGGCGCGATGGGCCACATAAAGAGGAAGCCGACGATGCTGCTGACCAGCATCAAGGACCTACGGCAGCTGGACGGACGGCATGAGAGGACCTGGAGTTGGACGGGGAACCGCGAATCTAGCAGCTGGGCAGAATGGGCGCCGGGGTTGGTGGCGGCGCTGGATGAGGCGATCAAAAGACAGGTTGTGGCGGCGTCAAGAATGGCAAAGGCATCGGCGGAGGAAATGTGGAAGAGCCACGTCGAGAATGGCTATACCCCATTTCGCCGAGACTGCAGGGCTTGCATCCAGGGTGGGCTCAGAGGAAGGAGCCATAGGAAGAGAAGTCACCCGGCCTTGGCTACTTGGGCAATCGACGTGACGGCTCCGTTCAAGACATCCAAGGATACTTGTTGGTGGGCTCCTATGTCACGGCGGTGGCGGAGAACATGGCCAAGGAAGACGAAGTGGAGAAGGAAGCCGGGGGAGAAGGAGAAGACCCGAGGACCCGTTTCAGGAGATGTTTGATGAGGAAGGGGCCTTGAGGATAGAAGGTGAAGATAAAGGAGAGGTGAGGGTAGAAGGTGAGGAGAGAGGAGCCGCGAGGGTAGAAGGCAAGGAGGATGAGAGAAGGGCATCCAGCTCCGGGGGGGCTGGAAGGTGCGGTCACAAGGACCATCATGTTGGTGGAGCCGCTGAGGACCAGCGCAGTTGATTGCGGCGACGCAGTCGATGGTTGCCAAGCTTCGGTGGTGGGGTTTCGAGGTGACGAGGCTTCATTCTGATCGAGGACGGGAGCTGGTGTCGACAGCGTTGAGGAGGTGGGCGGTGAGTCATGGGCTGTATAAGACGTTGTCGAGCCCAGATGAGCCGCAAGCCAATGGCCGGGCGGAGGCAGCGGTTGGCTGGGTGAAGCGGAAAGCGCGGGCGCTGCTGGGCCAACGCCAATTTGTGGCATGGGGCAGCCTTGCAAGCGGTGGAGATCAGGAATCGGAAGATCATGCGAGAGATGGGTTCTCCACAGCTGCAGCTGCCGGTCTTCGGTCAAAAGGTGGTGGTGAAGAAGAGGAGATGGAAGAGAGAGGCTTGGGAGGCGATCACGCAGAACGCAACCTACATGGGGCCGTGCCCGGACATGACCTTCGGGTTGAGGGCGATGGACCAAGGGGGCAGCATCTACACGGTGTCGCAGGTCGTGCCCGAGTCGAGGGACCAGAAGGTGGACATCCCGGTGGTGGGTGAGCTATGGACCAGGAGAAGGAGGCTGCGAGGAAAGCAGAAAGATGAGGAGGCTGGAGGAGCTGATGAGGAGCCGAGGATCGGTAAGGTCGAAGGAAGTGAGGAGCAGGTGGAAGTGTCCTTGGACCCGGAGTGGGTAGGGGTCGGGAGGATCGATGCGATGGCGAAAAGGCAGGTGGTATGGTCGCAAGAGAAGGATCGGTGCCTTGAGTTGGTCATGGATGACTTGGAGATGGGGGGCACTGGAGAGGAGTGGGCCGAGGTGCTGGGAAGGTTAGACATCCAGCAGAGCTGCACGGAGGAGGAGATGGTGGAGGTCACCCGCGAGGAACGCCCAAAGGCAGGTCTGAGGGCGATGGATGTGGCGGCGGAAGAAAAAATGTTTCTCCAGACGAAGATCATCGGTCTGGAGCAGGTCAGGAGAGAGATGGAGCTGTGGGTGCCGACGATGAAGAAGGAGGTCGGTGCGCTGTTGGAGAAGACGGCCATACGGGAGGTGAGAGAAGAGGAGGTAGACAGATGGGAGCGAGAAGGTGAGGCGGTGCAAAGAGCGCCAGGAAAAGCGGTGTTCACCCTCAAGTCAGGTGATGGAAGGAGGAAGTGCCGCGCGGTTGTCTGCGGCAACCAAATCCAGGAGGAGGTGGAAGGAGGAGCCGACGTGTACGCGTCTGGGGTGGAGGCTGGCACTGTTCGTGCGCTGCTCCGGAAGGCGGCGGCTATGAGGTGGTCGGTGGGCAGCTTGGACATCAGGACGGCGTTCCTGAACGCCCCGAGGAGGTCGGCCCATCGGGTGGTGGTGAGACCGCCGAGGATCCTCATCGATGCGAAGGTTGTGGAGCCGGGCATCATGTGGGAGGTGACGAAGGCGCTCTATGGGCTGAGGGCTTCACCAGCCGATTGGGGGTCGCACCGGGATGACACTCTCAGGAGGTGGAAGGTGGATGTTGGTGGGGGACAGGTGCTGGTATTGCAGCAGGCCTTTGCCGATGAGAACCTGTGGAAGATCAAACTGGGGAAGACCACGGTGGGGTTCATCTGCTGCTACGTGGACGACATGATGATCATCGGAGAGCAGAGCGTCGTGGAGGTGATGGCTGGTCACATCAAGAAGGAGTGGGACGCCACGGACCTGGAGTGGGCCAACACCGAAAAGGCGTTGAAGTTCTGCGGGGTGGAGGTGATGGTGAAACCAGGAGGAGGTGGGGAAATCCTGGTGGGGCAGGAGGATTACATCAAGGATGTGATCAACCGGTACGGGAGCGAGGTGAAGGAGAAGCTCATCCCGGTACCGAAGGAGATCGAGAAGGACGGAGAGGACGAGGAGCAGGACATGGAGATGGTTCGGAGAGCACAAACGCTGTCAGGGGAGCTGCTGTGGGCGACCCGGACGAGGCCAGACATCAGCTATGGCGTGAATCGCATCAGCCAGCTGATCGCGCGGCAGGCGAGGCGGGCCTATGACATGGGAATCTACTTGTTGGGCTTCCTCAAGAAGACGGTGGATTGGAAGTTGGAGTTTGGTGCCGCGGCGGAGGGCCACGGGGAGAATGGGGAGTACGTGTATGAGAGGGGCATGAACACCGTGGAGGTCTACGCGGATGCAGGCTTCGGGCCGGATGGAACAGGGGGTCATCGTATGTTATGGTGGCTGCCCAATCCAGTGGACGAGCACGCGGCAGCCGTTTGTGGCGAGATCGACCGCGGAGGCTGAGTTGTTGGCAGCCATGGAGGGGGTGCTGCAAGGGGAAGCCTGGGCGGAAATCATCGCTGACATGGAGGACAGGAAGGTCGCATCGGTGTGGGACAGGGCGGGCATCGATGTGGAAGGGCGGGACCAGCTGAAATCGTTGAAGCTGGTGATGATGCAGGACAATGCGGCAGCTGTCACGCTACTGCAGGGCCCGGGTGGGTCATGGAGGACGAGGCCACTTAAGATCCGGGCCAGGTCAGCCAGGGAGAGATTTGAGAATGGCTTCTGGGCGCTGCAGCACTTGCCGGGCGAGACGATGTTGGCGGACATCGGTACCAAGGCCTTGGGGAGCTCTCGCTTGAGAGCACTGGCCGAGATGATGGGTATGAAGATGGGCGAGAGCGACGCGATCCCGGAGAAGGACGAGAACCTTGTGGAGGTTGGGGAGGGGAACGCGGCCAAGGTGAGGGTGGTGCACAGCATTGAGCACGAGCGAGGCCTGAAGGTCTTGACGGGCATCACGTGCATTAATGTGCATTATGCTGGCTGATGCAGCTGGCATGGAGGATGAGGAGGCTTCCCGGGAGGAGCTTCTGTTTTGGACGGCGCTTCTGGTGGCGGTGGTGGCCGCGTGGGAGGCGTTGAAGTGGACTGCGAGAAGGGCAGCAGACGCGGTGCGGAACCTCCAGAAGGGGGGTATGTCAACTACCGGAGGTGGAGTGAAGGTGAAGACCATGCAGGGTGGCAAGGAGAGGGCAATGCAGAGGTTGCTTGATAAAAGGGCAGAAAGCGAGAGCTCCGAGGAAAGGCAGGAACGGAGCACAGAAGGAGGAGGAAGGCCGGGCAGCAGTAGTGCTGCAGACGGGCTCGAGAAAGAGGTTGACAGAGCCGGGAACTCGCATGAGAGAAATGCAGGCTGGAAAGCTGGAGGTGGAGAAGCGAGGCAGACCGGGTTGGCACCGGAGAAGAGTTTCGCGGCGGAGTGGAAGGTTTCCTTGGATGAGGATGAGACCGTGATCTGGGAGGAATCGGATGTGAAGAAGATCTTCCCGGGCATCATGAAGGAGCCGGTGGGGACAGAAGACCGCTGGTTGGAGAAGGGCGGCTACTACATCAAGATGCATTGCAGGAGGAGGGTCTCTGAGTTTGACCCACGGAGGGGCTACATGCCGAAGGAGAAGATCGGGCCGGAGAGGATCACGGTGATGAGGACGTCGGGGCCTGTCTTTGTGCTGGGCGGCGACTACACGGTGGGGTCGCGGTCTGGCCTGAGGGAGTTTGTGGGCTTCATGATCTTCAAGAAGGTCAAGGGGGAGCCGGAGGTGGGGTCTTGAGCTGGCGCCAATGAGCGCAAGGGTGGCCGAGAGCAGTATAGAAGCTCAAAGCCATACATTTTGGCTGTTGGCACAAAGTGCCAAGGGGGGGTGCATGAGATGTGCACTGCACTTCACGTGTTGACCATGCGGATGAACCGATTCCCGCAGACCCTTTAATGCTTTGAAGGAGGAAAAGGCGCCCCGGAGGTTTGCAGATACGAATCAACTGGTAGCTGTGTTAACCTGGAGAGGGAGGGTACAGGGAGACAGCAGGCAAAGGTTGCACAGTTAGTTTGGGATCCGGGGTTTAATAGGAGGTGTACTGTGAAGCGCGTACGAGATGAGTTTTGCACCCACGCTTGTAAGCAATCGACCTCAAACACACCTGCCAGTTGGTCTTGTCACCCGCCCCCCCCCCCCCCCGAAAAAGAAAAAAACAAAGCGAAACGTGCATCTATTGGTCGGTCAACGAGTCAACGTTTGGGCCGTGAGGTAGGGATAAAAAACTTCTGTGAGCTGGGAATACAGGGGAAACTCGTGGCAACTCGGCAAAGGCTCGGCAAAGGATTGATTTCAAGGCTGCAGCTTGAATGTTTGTGCAGCTGAGGCGACCTCTGCCGAGCAAAAAGGATAAAACCGTGACCCCTTAAGCCCTGACAATCTCTTGATTCTTGCTGTGTGCCCCATGCATAGTCTATGCAATTTCTAGTGTGTAGATGGTCAGCCTGAAGTGGGCGTCTAGGATATTGTTGGGACTAACGATGGTTAGTAATTGGCGTAGTTGCATGTAGTTGAAAGTGGTGGCGAGTAGGGGCAGCAAGCGGCGAGCACGGATTAAGTAGCCATTCAAGGGTAATACTAAGTAGTCGTAGTAGTGGCGAGTAATGGCGAGTAATGGCGAGTACTGGCGAGTAATGGCGAGTTGTACTAGTAGTGGTAGTAGTGGCGAGTAGTAGGCAGTAGTGGGCGAGTGGCGGCACGTAGTGTTGAGTGATAGCAGTATTGCGAGCAGTGGCGAGTTGTGGTGGTGGTAAGTAGTGGAGAGCAGTGTCCCAAGCAGTGAGTGATGGTGAGACAGCTAAACCGCAGCACTCCGACGACACGGGGCCCGAGGCAGTCTTCAAAGCTTTGTCGCTGGAGACCTGGGCTCGCATCTGTCGCCAGAGCAAAATGGAACCCGAGAAAGTCTTCGGGCACGCTCCAGCTATTTCAGGGGATGGCCGCGGCAAACAAGTCCTCTCCTTCTGGTCCTTGTAAAACTGCAAGGCTCAATTTCGCGGCCTTCGGGGCTTCCCAGATTTCATGTGCTAAGCAGCCATCAATGCAAGGAGGGCCGATGCTACACTCTCGGCTCAGAGCATCCAAATGACCCGTGAGCACCTCAGTCCACACGTCGTGATGCCTCCACCATGCCTTTTTTTGGTGCCAAGCCATGACTCACGACACCAGGCCTTCTTGGATCTCTAACAACCTGCCGCTTCTGTATTTCAAATCTTGGCCACATGTCCTGACTTCAAGAAGAAAATAATTTACCAGCTGCTTTCGGAGGTCTGCCTCATTAGGAAGTCCCACCTCTCCATAATGCAATATTCAGCATAACCCAACCATAACGAACCTCACTTACCTAAGCCCAACAAACAAAGTTCAAAACCATTCGAAAGGGGAATATTGGCGCGGAAAGTCTGAGGCAGTGACTAAGTGTTGCCGACAGCTGCTCCAGTCCTGAGGGAGCGCATGGCTTGCTGTCCAACAATCCATCCGTATGGCAACATCCAATCCAAAAAGCTTGCCCTACCGTGAAATCACGCGCTCCATCCTACTAATGCCTCCCCCCCCCAAAAAAAAAAAGAAGTATTTCTCCCAACCCCAACTGCAGGTGCGGGTCCTGGAAGCGCTCTGCACAGTCTGGACACTCGAAGGCGTGCGTGATCCTGGGCACGGAGCTATGCAGTCGCACAATAGTTGCCGATCAAGCTTCTGGTCTTGTGGGCAATGCGTTCCATGTTTCAACAAGATGCAGGCTACCCCTTGAGGTTGATTCCCCATACTTGGCAAGTGGGAAGGATCCATAGGCACCCATTTTGATGCTCAATAGTGCGCTGCTTGCATGCAACATGCCCAAGCAACCACCAGGATCCTCCCCCCACCCTGCGACGCAAATGCCGAGGCAAAAGCTTTGGGCTCAAAGGCCCGATCTTTCGCGCCACCTGGCGATCGAAGCAGTGCGCAACGCAACGGTGAAATAGGCCCTGCCTGAGCCTCCACACGCTTATCCACACCAATTGGCTGCAGGGCTTGGATGTCCGCCTCCTGTCATACTGCGACCAGCGTTGCTCGCGATGCGCTCCAATCTGCACTTATAACATGTGTTGCTTGCCCTAAACATGTGCTGCTTGCCTTAAAGCCCGGGCAAGCAACAGTTGGTGAGCCTGTTGAGGCCCAGAGGTTGTCGCACTGACTCACAGCTTGTTTCTGCAGCAGGTTGGAGCAAACAAGCACAGCATACATGCAGCTCAGTGTGGAACATGAGGATTTAGATTCCAAAACTCAAAGCGTGCGACCCGGCTCCGTGTACCGCCTTCAATTACGTTTGGAAAAAGCTAGATGTGCTTCATATGCTTCAAACTGCTGCGTGGCTGAAAGCTGCTGAACGCCATGCTGACATTTCCACGGACGACGACATGCGCAGCACACCCCGGGTTCACGCCTCGTCCAACTCATCATCAAAGGTCTGGCAGGGGTGCAGTTCTAGATTTCACCAAACTGAAACTTGGGCTGCTCAGGTAAACTGCACATAATTAGGACCCATCTGATTTCTCAACACACAATGCCCTGACAGTCCACACGTGACATCGTCACGAGGGCTTTCCTCTTTGGGCCGCAAAATCGTTCAACTAATGCTAAAGCCGTGCGTACCTTGCGCACACTGCAAGTCGTCCAATTGTGACTTGCGCTGTCGGCAGTTCCATCTTCAAAGCGCCGTGCAGCGTGGTTACTTCTTGCTTGGCATGTTGCTGGAGCAAGCTCCGTGCTTGGCGGCGGCTCCTCCCTATTTTTTTTACTCCAACCACAATTCGGGACACTGCTCCGCAGGAACTTTTTTTCGTCCTCGCCAAAGAGGACAATTGCCCCCGCGACGTTCAACAACAAAAAACCAAACAATGCAAGTCTCAGGCGAGCTGGCTAGCTGGCTCTTGCCTCCGTGTCCTCCTCCTCAACTTCCTGCCAGTGGCTGGCTCTGCCAAGTGAGGTTGTCTTAAAACGCGTTTGGTGTTTTTTTTGTTTTTGTTCTGGAAGGGAGACCAAAGAGAACCTTCGGATGCAGGTATTTGAGACAAGCCCAAATCCCTATCTTCAACAGGGAGAGCGATTGAGGCCCTGTGACATATGTCAGCGGCGCCCTTCCTCCTCGTCGCCCTCTGATCCGCCCTTGGGAGTATCCTTGCCTCAGCCATTGATTGAGCATCTTGCCAACGGAATTTCAACTCCATCTATGACTCTTGTTCGACTCTCTAGACTTCACGCGCGACTGCCACTGCCACCACTTAAGTTTCCTCCCCCAATATGTTGGGTTTCCGGCTCTTCCGCAGGTTGGGGCGATGACGGATCCACATCACCTCAGTGTCAATGCCCTGCATTGAAATCTGCCAACTTTGGCTGCCAAAATGGCTGGGGAGGCCCGTAAGGTACGTAGCAGCGTGACAGCACTTTGCACCTTGAGGGTAAGCAAGTATTGTCTGCATATCTGCCTCAGAGCAAGCGCACGACCACGCTATGCTTTTTTGCTGTCCACACGCTCCAGCCATGCTCTGAAGTCGTCGCTCACTTCGGCCTTGCATGCACACGGCCACTTGTTCTGAAATCCCTTTGTTCTTGGAATGATATCGCAGGTTGTAACCCTGGAAAGTTACAACAACAACAACAACAACAACAACAACAACAACAACAACAACAACAACAACAACAACAACAACAACAACAACAACAACAACAACAACAACAACAACAACAACAACAACAACAACAACAACAACAACAACAACAACAACAACAACAACAACAACAACAACAACAACAACAACAACAACAACAACAACAACAACAACAACAACAACAACAACAACAACAACAACAACAACAACAACAACAACAACAACAACAACAACAACAACAACAACAACAACAACAACAACAACAACAACAACAACAACAACAACAACAACAACAACAACAACAACAACAACAACAACAACAACAACAACAACAACAACAACAACAACAACAACAACAACAACAACAACAACAACAACAACAACAACAACAACAACAACAACAACAACAACAACAACAACAACAACAACAACAACAACAACAACAACAACAACAACAACAACAACAACAACAACAACAACAACAACAACAACAACAACAACAACAACAACAACAACAACAACAACAACAACAACAACAACAACAACAACAACAACAACAACAACAACAACAACAACAACAACAACAACAACAACAACAACAACAACAACAACAACAACAACAACAACAACAACAACAACAACAACAACAACAACAACAACAACAACAACAACAACAACAACAACAACAACAACAACAACAACAACAACAACAACAACAACAACAACAACAACAACAACAACAACAACAACAACAACAACAACAACAACAACAACAACAACAACAACAACAACAACAACAACAACAACAACAACAACAACAACAACAACAACAACAACAACAACAACAACAACAACAACAACAACAACAACAACAACAACAACAACAACAACAACAACAACAACAACAACAACAACAACAACAACAACAACAACAACAACAACAACAACAACAACAACAACAACAACAACAACAACAACAACAACAACAACAACAACAACAACAACAACAACAACAACAACAACAACAACAACAACAACAACAACAACAACAACAACAACAACAACAACAACAACAACAACAACAACAACAACAACAACAACAACAACAACAACAACAACAACAACATTACTACTGCTGATGGCAAACCCCCTTGTGGCAGGCATGGCATGGAGATCTTGAGGAACTCCAGCCAATACTGGCCGGTCTCGCCGATGGCACGAGAAAGGCTCTGATGGACTGCAATGAGCCAAGGCCACGCCTTCGCAGCCCAAAGCTTCAAGGTGGCGGCGGCATCAGGCTGAGGACCGGCGGCCGTGAGGCAAAGCTCCGCTAGGCGCAGGAGCCTCGGTATTTGTGTGCACTCGTGAGAGGTTCTCTGCAGGTTTGGGAGGATCATGTTGAGGATGTCACAATTCAACAAACTGAATTGAGGAATCATGAGGAACCCCTAAACACCTCAGCTGGTTCTCTGCTGTATTTGAAGGATGCGGGTGGTTCAAACGGAATCTGCGAGCTAGATGAATCCAAAACACCCTTCTAGCTATTGCCAAATATTGTGGGCAGGCTTCCACCGAAGCCAAAGAAACATTGTGCCATCCGCCGAGCGGGCTTCAAGCCTCTGCCAAGAAGCTCTGATCTAATTTGCTCGAGGTACACATGCTGCTTCTCCTGGAGTGGGACCCCCCGCTCACAAATCAAAGGAAGCACTCTTAACTGTTGCAGCTACTTAGAAAGCAATTGCGAAAACCTCCCTTTGAGCTGCTACCATCGTGCGGTCGAAAAGCAACATCACAACGAGACACACCCACCAATGCGTTCAAGGATCATAACGTGCAGTGGTCGAACCGGCAACAAGGCCAAAAAGCGAAAGGACAGCTAAACAATCCCTGCGTAACTTCAAGCAGCCCTACCCTGGATTAACCCTAGCCCATCCAACAGAACCCCACCTAGACCAACCCTGGACCGTCGACCAGCCTGACCATCCCATAGCAAACTGAGCCAGCGCTACTCCAAACCTGTACCAGCTCACCAGCTACAAACCAATCCCGCGACCCACCAAAACCAGCACTATACCGCCCCCGCACCAGCCCGAAGCTAACCCTAAACCACCCACAACATCCTAACCCTAAGGCATCCTCAAAACCTTCTAGGCATGCCTCAGAATAGAAAACATCACGCTGGTCTTTGCCAGGAACCCGAATAACAAAAGCCGCATTGAGGGTGGCCAAATCGCCATGCTTGATGCCAACGAACCCTCAAAGCAGCTTCCTTGATGGCTGATGTGCTGGCCGCACGTGTAATAGAAGCAAGCGCAAATGAACAGCAACCTCAATGTGAATGTGCGAATGGATGATATGTATATACTCCATCATGTGAGTTCAACAGGCCAATGCTTTTGTGGGAAGCAGCCCCCAAAAACCAAACATCTGCAAGGCCCATCAATTTGACTCCTTCGGCTCCCGCTCGAGCTCCAAGCCAGGTGGTGCACTTGTGGCTGGACCTGGCGTTCAATGGACCGGCACTGGGATTCTGAATGGGAATGTAGCTGTTTGAGCTGGTTAAATCAACTGGGGGCCTGTTCCCTCCGCCAAGCCCTCACGTGAAGCTCAAGCATAGGCCAATGAGCAGCATGGCCAATTCTTACCCATGGCAGCCCGGGAGCTCCCAAATTCCCTGCCTGACATGGAGCCCACGGCGTCGCACACGCCGGTGAGGATGGTGTTTCTATCTTGGTCATCCTGGCGGGTGGAAGGGATGCTCAACCCAAACTGCTCTGCCCAACCGGGCCGCTTCCTGAGCCGATGGCGCTGCACAACAGCCATGAAAGATGCATCTTGTCTTAAGTCTTGTACAGTCCTTGTGGGGTGCTGCGTGTGTTCTTCGCATGTTTGCTGGGCGGCATCTAGGTTTGAGATCCTGCAGATTGCCAACCTGCACAGCCTTTGTTGGGTGCTGCTTGTGCATCACCACTATTATTCGCATGTTTCAGGTTTGCCAACGTGCAGGAGTTCCTGTGGGGCGCTGCGTGTGCATCAACAGCATTATTCGCATGTTTCTGGGTCTAGGATTGATGCCAACCTGCAAAGTCCTTGTGGGACGCTGCATGCGGCATTCGCATGTTTTCTGGGCGGAGTCAAGGCTTGAGTGTGTGTGTGCATCGCCACTATGAACTATTATTCGCATGCTTCTGCAGGCCTGAAATTATTCAAGTTGCCAACCTGCAAAGTGCTTGTGGGGTGCCGCGTGTGCATCACCAGCATGATTCGCATGTTTGCTGGGTGGCATCTAGCCGCATCTCAAGCCTAGATGCCAACTTGCAGGGTCCTTGCCCGGCACTGCGTGTGTATCACCAGCATTATTCGCACGTTTGCTTGGCGGAATCTCAAGCCTATAGCAGCGTCCTTGCGGGGTGCTGCCTTTACATGATGGGGCGCAGCTGAAGCCTGCATCGTGCAATTTTAATGGAAGGCTCCCCTGAGTCCTGGGTCACCTGCGCAAACTGCTGCAGCGCCTGTGCCGCCTGGATGCGAACCTTCCTAAGACATCGCACATGAAACGATCCGGGGGTCACTGCATGGGAATTCTATGGAGGGCATTTGTATGTCAAATCTAAAAGTCAGTTTAAAAGGAATTCGAGTCGTCGTTTTGCTGCCTGAAAATATTGCGTTCCCACAACTTTCGAGTCCGCACTGCTCCGTTTGAGTTGCCGCATGTGCCCACATGATCCATCACTTCCCTCCCAAGGTGCTGCAAATGGACTACTTTTAAGTCAGGCCTCAGGTTCTCCACCGACAGCAAAGTGCAGAGAGGAGACAACAGCTCCAGCACTGGCTGCAGGTCGCCAGTGCTCTTGGCGAGCTGTCCCGCTGAGCGACAAGCGTTCCACTGGCACTTGGGCGGTGGCCTGCAACTGACACGTGTCAATCCACGGGTATGAGCTTTGCGCATCTCTCACACCATGTCACACCTTGGCCAAAATGGACAGCTCAGCCAGAGCCACACTGGAAACGCAACGTTGGAGTTTGGCAAAACCCACATCAACCCTAACCCAACCCGGAAATCAACAAACAACTTGATAACTAGCACCCTAGGCAAATGAAGGCACAGGAGGCCGGCCGGCCTCGCCAGCGCCGGCTTCAGCGCCTGCACCAGGCCGGGCACGTCCTCCAAAGGCCCCAGCTCCGCCACGCAACCCACGGCGCGCAGCGCCGAAGCGCGCGCCTTGTCTGAGGCGTCCGAGCACAGCGGCAGCAGCGTGGCCAGGACCTGGGAGCACAGCCAAACCGCCGGGGACGGATTATTTGCAGGCAGCATCGATACAAAACCCACTGTTCTTGTATGTGCTTGTGATGTGGCGAGGTTCCTTAGCAACAAATTGGGCCTAACTCCAGATACGCCTCGTGAAATGCATCGACCTTGTCAATCAGCCCTTTTGCCCACTGCCGCTGCAACATCCTGCCTCTTGTCGCAAGTGGAAATCCTGCAGGGGCTCCGTGAAGCTGGATAAGGCAGTGGCGGCAGCGGAGCGCACCTGGTTCAGGCCATGCATGTCCGTGATTGTTCCGACCAGCCTCCCTTTTGCATTGGGTTGCCAGCATGCCTGCATCCTGAAAAAAAAAGCAGTGGACGGCGACAGGCTGATTTTTGTTTGGTTTTGTTTTAAAGAAAGCCGTTTGCATCAAGA